TCCACCAGGGTATAGCGTTACCGGTGGCACAGGGAACGTGTGCAAATTAAAAAAGGCGTTGTACGGGTTAAAGCAGTCTCCTCGGGCATGGTTTGGCAGATTTACTATAGCTATGAAGAAGTTTGGTTACCAACAGGCCAATACTGATCATACTCTATTCATTAAACATAAGGCTGGTAAGATGACTTTGTTATGATTATTTATGTTGATGATATGATTGTAACTGGTGATGATACTGTAGAACTTGAGGAACTGCAGAAACTTTTAGCGTCTGAGTTTGAGATGAAAGATTTGGGCAGTCTGAAATATTTTCTAGGAGTGGAAGTCACTCGATCTAAACATGGCTTATTTCTTTCACAAAGGAAGTATGTCATGGACCTGCTAGCAGATACTGGAATGTTTGACTGTAAACCAGCTGATACACCTATTGTTGAGAATCATAAACTTGGTGTTTATGTTGATCAGGTTCCAACTAACAATGAAAGATACCAAAGGTTAGTGGGAAGATTGATTTATTTATCATTGACACGCCCTGATATTGCCTATGCGGTAAGCGTTGCTAGCCAATTTATGCATTCACCTAGTGAGGACCATATGGCTACTGTGATGCGTATTCTGAGTTACTTAAAGTTTGCTCCTGGGAGAGGTTTATTTTTTAAGAAAAATGGCCACTTGGATTTAGAAGGTTACACTGACGCAGATTATGCAGGGAATATTACAGATAGACGTTCTACATCATGTTACTTCACCTTTGTTGGTGGTAACCTAGTTACGTGGCGTAGCAAGAAGCAAAACGTTGTGTCTCGGTCCTCTGCAGAGTCTGAGTACAGAGGGATTGCCCAAGGGGTTTGTGAAATATTGTGGTTGAGGTGGTTACTTGCTGAAATTGGGTTTAGACCGAATGCTGCTACAAAGCTCTACTGTGATAATCAGTTTGCATTTGAAATTGCTAACAATCTGGTGCAACATGATCGAACTAAGCATGTGGAAGTTGATCGGCATTTCATTAAGGAGAAGCTGGAGCATAAGTTAATTTCTATACCTTTTGTGCCTTCTTCAGAGCAGCTT